GCAGCGCTTCCCCCCACTCTCCGGGAAGCGGCCAGCGCGCAAAACCTGCGCTTCTCCGGCCGACCCTTGCCTCGGTCGCAGGAAAGCACCCCTTCCCGGGGATCTGCGCAGCGCCAAGTCCCGCGCGCCCCTTCCCGGGCCGCCCGCTGCCTCTGGCTGCCGGTGCGAGCTTTCCCCCCCCCCCCGCCACCTCCTGCGCCCGCCCTCCCCCTCCCTCCCCCTTGCAGCCCCGGACTCTTTCCCGGACGGCAGCCGCCCGGTCGCCTCGCCCTCCCTCGCTCCCTGCGATGCCCTGGCGCTCCAGGCGAGCCGCTTTCTCGCCCCGCCGCCTCTGCCCAAGCGCGCACGGAGGAAGGGAAGAGTGGCAGCCGCCGGACAAGCCCGGGAAAAGTGCGCGGCCGGCCGGCTCGGGGCGCCCCCCGGGGAGGAAGGGCCCGGGACCGGCCGCCGGGAAGCCGGGACGGGGAGAGCGAGAGGTCTTACCTGCACTTGAGCTGCTTTGGGTGACTTTCCAAGTACAGGGAAAAATGTATGTGTTTGGGATGGAGGCTCGGAGCGCGCATGCGCCACCTAAGTTGCCCTGATCCGGGATTTTTTTTCCCCCCCACTCCGTCTCTCCATTTTGCTTTAATTATTGAATTTTCCAATTTCTACCAGGGGGGGCAGGCAGCTCGCAAAACCCGGGCTGGACTTCCAACCACCAACTGCCCCTCTCTCCCCGCGCTGCGAGGAGAGGAGGGAGACGGGGGAGGAAAAAGCAAGGAATGGACTTATTTCCCAAAGGCAGGGAACTCTAGGTAAAGCAGAGGCGCCTGTAAAACCCGGAGCGGAGATAAGCGCTCTGTGCCAACTCTTTTCTGCCCTGACTCCTCGCCTCGGCCCTCCTCCTCCTGCGGGCAATTTCTCTCTCCCTTCAGCCCAAACCGGGCTTCCCTTCCGGCCTGCATCCTTTTCCAAAATAACCTGGCTGAACTTGGCCATCGCTCTGGGCAAGCTGCACCTAGGTGAGATGCCTCCCATGCCCTGCCTTTATTACCTGCTAACCAGGAGTTTCGTGGCAAGCCTTCTGGGTTTGGGTCCATGCAGCCTCCTGGAGTCTGCAGTAGTGGAAGGAGGGTCTCTGCTCAGCATGGCCCCAGTTTATTACCTGGAGGGTCAGCGCTGCCGTTGGAGGCTGACACCAGAAAGGTTTCTCTGGCCATCAAATCGTCTCTTGAGTGTGTAGGAAGCTCATAATACGAAGACTAAACTTGACTGAACTTAGCATGGGCTTTCACAAGTGCCATAAAGTCTCTTCAAAGAACAGACACTGGGCATTTCTTCTGTTACTTTTGCTTTTTCTGGCCAGGAAGAAAGGGCTCTGTGACCTTTTGGGGGTGGGGGGGGAGAGTGCTGGATTTGGCTTGCAAAAAAATGCAGACTTGGCACCCCTGCTGATGACTTTTTAGCCCACAGGGGATACACCTTGTTTGCCTCTAAATGTGAGTTATCGTGCTTTCCAAACCCCTCTTTTTCTACTCTTTTCTCTTTCCAACACTGTTTCAACTATGTTAGCTTGGACGTCTTTGCTTAGGGTAGATGCCTCATGGCCTTAAGAGAGCGGGGTGTGTGTGTAAACACACACACACATACATACACTTTAGTTTATTGTCATTGCGCCTCATACAACGAAATCAAACACCATCTTCACTGCACATCATGACCATGAAAATAAACACAAATACACACCCTTCACCCTCCACACATTGGCCCCCCCGGCCCTGCACCAACACTGCACTAGACAGTAGAATTCAAGAGAGCTCCTGCCCTGGGATAGAAGCTGTTTTTCAGCCTATTTG